ACATGTTGGGCCACACGATGAGAGGAAGGAGAGGCAGCATGAACACAGAGAGAATTCAATGGTTTCAGTATAAAAGGGAACATGAAGTGGACAAGTATTTACAAACAGTCTTGTTGCACCCAATAATGTAATGATTTACTGAAAATGTAATAAAATGTGCACTTAACTTAATCGAAAACGTAACAACAAAACCCAATGATGTAATAACTTGACCAATGATCTAATGCTTTTGAAGATAAACTAGCATATGGCTTGAGCATATTTCTAATGAATTGCACTTTATGAACATTGCACATCATAGTTAAAACGCAAGATTTATTTTGTGAAATTATCTCTGTCTCAACCTCTTGGCACAGAAACCAATATTTTACCATTTCTGCCTGTTCTGTTTGGTACACCTTAAAGGTGCTGTATAGCCTTCGAGATTGGGAGCATCTCAAAATGGCAACGGCTGAGGTTGCTGCTCGCAGCTAACGGTGCCAACAGGGCAAACACTGCAAACTACGGCAAAAGTGCCGACAGAGCAAACAGTGTTTACCTGGAGGGGAACCGGAGGGTGGGCGCTACGCTACTGCGACGACAACGTCGGTCAGGACGGGTTTATCAGCTGTAACTGTTGTATGAGCGCAGTGCAGAGCGGCGGCCATGAGCGAGCCAATGGGGCATCATGGGTAAAAGAAACTTGAAGCTTAGCATCAAAATGTGTGCAGATTTAAATAGGAACAGGTTCCAAATATTGCAGCCTATAGTGCTGCAGGAGTCTTGAACCCTGGAAATAAGAAAAGCCTTTTTGCACTTCTGGTTTCTTTGTCTCAAATAATATTTATTTTTAATGGAGTTTTGGTTTAATGCCTGAAATAACGTCTGTGATTGACAGAAGCTTGTCAGTTCACCCCCTAAATAGTTCCTGCATAAAACTACTCACAACAAGGTCTGTGTATTATTTTGAATAACTGGGTCATGATTTCTGGAAAGTCAAATTTATAATTTGTTGGCGCTTTGAGCCCCACAAGCCGAGTGCCATATGGTGTGGTGTGTTTGTAGCCTTAACCTTTTTCTTCTGGTTTGCATTTACTCTTCAAAAATCACAAAAGTGATTTTATGACTGCCATGAAGTAAGAACAAGTTGAACAAGGAAAGGCACTTTTTAATGGGAGCACAATTATCAGTCTGTCTGGATACTAAACATCTGATGGATGTGTTAATAAATACAGTGCGTTGGCTATGTAGGCAGTATGTGTTTAATACTACATTTCTTCAGGGGAACAGCCTGAACAATTATGATGAAATGCGTATTTGAGGTAATATGATGGTCGTTCTGGAAGACAGAGACACATCACTCACTCACATCACAAAACATCGAGCACTAAATAAAGACTATCTAAGGCAAGCTGATGGAAGCAAATTGTATGTGGTATTCCCTCCACAATATAACATTGTATGGACAACCTCTTGAAAATTACACATTAGGTGAGATTGAGAACATAATTGACTATATTTCTGCAAATGTTGTCTTACACTGATACCATATGATACACAAATCGCATGTCATATTTTGTTTTACAGGAAGAAAAGATGATTGGATTTTGACATAAAAATATGAAGACATTTATTTTTTGTACAATTTGTGGCATATTTTGTGACATATATTGTTAAATAGGTGCACAATATGACCGATGATGTGATTTAAAATGGTTAAAAAGGCATTTTTCATTTGATCTTGTTTAATCTATACGTATATATTTATTAGTTGATGTATATTTTGTATCAATAATCTGAATCTGAAAAGTAACTCAAGCTGTGAAATAAATGTAATGAAATAAAAAGTACACCAATACCTCAAAACTGTACTTGAGTACAGTTCTCGAGTACTTGAATGTACTCGGTTACATTCCACCACTGCCGGCATCGAGTACTACTTAGCAGCACACTATTTATTTACATTTGTAGTCTCAATAATGAACATCCAAAATTGTGCTCTTCAGTAATATGAGGCCAAAATATCAACTTCCCAGACAGAATCTACTTTCATTCATTTGGCAGACAATTGTGTTCAAAGCAGCGTACAAATGAGGGGCAATAAAAGCAAAAGTAGGTCAAGGAGAGACATGTTGTGACCTTGTAGGCGGACTAACATGAAATGTGCTGAGTGAGTCAGACAGACGAATGTTACTTTACTGTCAACAGCCATGTAGAAAATATCCCACTGGGCCAATAACCCTCAGATAAGAGCTGAGCTCATGACTGTAAATATCAGAGAAGAAAACAAATGCTGATGCTGACTAGTAGACACACGTACGACCGAGTCACTCACTCCTCTGAAATCTGCCACGAGGTTCAGGAGTATCGGTGTGGTATTTATCGCTTTTCAGGCTTTCATTGCCACTTATCTTCAGCGGTGGAATGTAACGCAGTATATTTTGAATTGTATTATTTTCTATATAGTATATTTTTGTGTATACGGAGTATTTTCACACTGTGGTGTAAGTACTTATACTAAAGTAAAGGCTCCGAATACTTCTCACACCATTTTTTTAATCCATCTATTATTGCTGCTAATAAACATTTTGTTTTATTCTCTTTTTTTTTTAAAGGGGAAATTTGGGTGGAAAATGTCAATAATTATTCATGCAAAGAAACAACAACAGCACTGAACTTGATCAAACAGGTCTGGGCGAAGTTGAATTAATCTTCTCTCTTCCTTCAGTCAGTGTCACACACACCCCCACACACACACACACACACACACACACACACACACACACACACACACACACTCAGCTAAAACACTCCATGCTGGCCTTGGCTCTCTCCATCTCGTGTAGGAAGTTGTAAAACTGTGGGAGCGTCAATTCTGGAAGAGATGAGGGAAGAACACAGGAAACAGTTAGTGGATAACACAGACTGACTGAGAACTACTCTATTACACTACAAACAAAGATAGTAGTTAGTTTTACTACTCCCTGTCACACTTTGGTATAAACTATCTTAATCCTGCTTCAAGACAGTTTTTTTTCATTTGCTGTTGTAGAAGCTGGTCTGGTATCTCTTTAAAGGGAATAATTCTCTGGACATGAAATTTCTGCATTAAAAATAAAAGAAACCGTTGCAGTCCATGCATCTGCCGTGTGTCTCGATTCAAATGTTCATTCATGCTGCTTCACGCATCTGGCTCTGACATTTTGAGATCCAGTTAGGCAGGAGGTTATAGCCAATACAATAAATTAAGTGAACAAACGTCTTCAGAGCTGTTTTTGGTCAGTAACAGCACACAGTCGCTCACCCATGTAGACGTTTTCAGTGGAAATCCCCTTTCTGACCACCAGCTTCAACTGCAGGAGAGAAAGAAAACTGTGTTCAACAAAACTGAACAAAGAGCTGTGTAACTGTGTGTGTGTAACTGTGTGTGTGTGTGTGTGTGTGTGTGTGTGTACAGAGCTTTCAAACCTGCAGAAAGATGTTGCCCACTTTCTGTACTTCACTGGTGCCCACAGTCACTGTGAGGGTCAGAAAACACATCATGTTACATAGATTCATGCAAATTGATCAATAAAACAAAAATCACAAACAAGAATACGTTATGGTTTTTTCAACATTATAGGGAAATTGAAAGTTGATTTTGTAGTATATTGATACTTTTGGCCAAGGATTTCTCACCTACTTTCCTGTAATTTAATGTATGTTGGGTGTCAAATGTAGGTATAATATATCCCCAAAGGTAATATTGAATCAGACTATGTGTAACGTGAAATGTGACAAACCCACAGATAACCATCGACTCTGTAGCTCTGCAGAATTTGTTTGCATATTTTAGCAGATTGTTTTGGTTTTAAGGTACTAAAGAGTTCATGAAGAAGCTCTGATAAAGCTGCACTCTACCTGCTCAGCAGCACACAGCAGCCGGACACAGTTAGAGACTAACTGCTGATGAAAGTGGAGCATGAAGCAGCTACAGAGCCAGATGTTTTTCTCAGGAGGCCAAACATGATAACAAATTGACTAGTGTTCATCAAAGACACACAAACCCTTAAAAGGGATGAGTGTGTTGCGTAATGTGTCAATAGGCAGCTACTTGCTAACACATTAGTCGTAACACCTTTATGGTGTAATAACGTCTCAGCCTGGTTGTGAGTTAATCTTCCCTGCAGTGGCCAAACATTTGTTTCCTTTTTTAACTAGGGCCACTTTACCTTTATTTCACACTCCTTTCATTCTATGTTTGCTTCACTTTGGTTATGGTGTTGTGATGCGTCACAAACATTCTCCTTAATTCAGAGGTTGCATTACAGTTACTAAGTGATATTTTCTGAACTTGACTTTGATCATCAACTGTGCATTACTTATGATGGTTTCTTAAACACATATACTGTGTGTGTGTAAATGTCTTTTGAATGCAACAACTATCATCCAAAAAACAGAGTCATGGATTATGAAGCCGTTTGGTATTTTGTAGCGAGGCCACAACTAAATATGCGAGAACTCGAAAGGTCCTGGACTCTTTCTAATGCACTTTATGTACATTCAGCATTGTACAAGACTGTCTGTTTGAGTAGCAGCCGGTGAGAAAAGCAGTGTAAACATTGGCTATCAGACTTGTCAAGTCTCCACAGATTTCCCGACTGTTCACAGCCGACTCGTTGGCGACATGCAGAGACACAGTCTGCTTGCCTGGCTGAAGGTTTTGCATGTCAATAACAGCGCAGTCAAGTAAACTACAGATGAGTGCAGCATGAACTGGCACTCCCTGTTCACTCCCCTCATAAACTAGAGCACTGTGTCTTTTAACATGAAGATCAGCTTAACAATAGCTCAACATAATGCTAATGACTCTCCGGCTCAGCGTATTAGCATCTCCATTGCCTGTGAGTCTTATAGGTTGTCTGCATAAACAATGGTGCCTGACAGAGACCCATCAGCTGTACACATCAGAGGTGTTTAAAGGAGACATAAGCTATGCTAATAGCTGTTAGACGAGAGCCTCCGTGTTCATGAATATCTGCTGGAAGTCTGAGAGGAGAGAAGACAGCAGCGCTCAGAAATAGACTTAAAGTGAAACTATACATTTTGTCGACAGCTAAATTTGATGGGATGTCTAGTTTTGCTTCGTTTTACCTCCAAACTTCCACTCCATGTCAACCAGCTGGTTGACCATCAGAGTCTGTCTCACAGCGAGCCTGGACAGCGCTGCATAGTGCTCCCCCCACTGCAAAACACAGAAAGAAAGACTCCTGTGATCATAGAATTATAACTGGTTTGATAAGCCTTTTATTGACTTTTAAAAGGACAGAAGGCAACAAGATTAATGTGACTCAAAATGATTCATGTACTGGATTACTGGTTAGTTAGTTTGTGTTTTTGTCAATGTGGTGTTTTAAAGGGTTAGTTTGAATTCACCAAAGTCAAAGAAGCGTTGTGGCTTTGAAGAGAGCACAGATGGATATAATGGCTTCAGGTCATCGTCGGAAAGGGGCCAACTGATGGCAAGGTGAAGCAGTGAAAAATATTCTAAATATAGCGTACACGTGAACAGATTTCTTGACCACCATCTACTGCAGGTAATACACCGACTATGAATAACTATTTCATACAAAATCTGAACTATCTCTTTAACCCTTTTATTCTGTTTTCAAATAGAGTTGAAAGTTACCTGCTGTGAAAAGTGAGCTGCCTTGTCTTCGCTCAGTCCTGAGGAATCAACAGATAAAGCAGATTTGTTTTTTTTAAATGAACCCTCTTTCTAAGCGACTCCTGTGAGAAAGGATTTGGATGTGTACCTAATGTCACGAGGTCTTCTTTGATCTGCTCAGCTGTCAGGTTTTTCTTCAAGGCGCCTGAGGAGAGAACAGACACAATCACCATCAATGAGAGAGAAACTTAAAGCTGAACATTCATTAGTATCAAGTTGAGTGTCGTGGTAAAATTCTAAACTGCATGCATTCGTGTCTGTATTGTCTTAAAAACAAATAATACTATAGGTGGCATGGTTGCACAATTAATTACTTAGAGTTTTGACTACTAAAAGAAAAGGAAAATCCACGTTTATACAACTACTACTACTACTACTACTACACTAAAACGTTGTAGATTGTTGATTATACCATATCTTGTCAAGACTTTTACTGATTACTGGACTTCTAAAAGAAAGGAAATTATTGGAAAGGAGACACAGAGACCAATTTCTATCCCAACAGGAGAGGGAGAACAGACTATGCTGCAGTAAAAGAATAGTTTGGCATTTAAGGAAAGTGATTTACAAGGGTTTACGTGCTGAAACTTGTCCTCCTTGTATTTTGGTTTTTATACAAATTAAATGAGCTATAAGTGTCACTTAGTGAGCTTTAAAAGTATTTATAGGCTTAAGTTACATATTTAGCATAGAGACATGAGAGTGGTATTTATCATCTCATCTAACTTTAAGAGATAGTTTGCACCTTTTGGAGTGGAATATTATGAGGCAATTATCCTTATTACCTACCAGACTCCTTTGACAAAAACATTCAATGTACCTCACAGAACACGGGAGTTGTTGCTGCTGCGTCGCTGCCTCGCTGGGTTAGTTTGTATGCGTTATTGTGCGATTATGGTGAATCCAAACTAACCCTTTAAAACACCAAAGTCACACAATAACACTAACTAGCTAACCGGTCAATGCTGTGGTACTCCAGCAACGCCCGTGTTCTGTGAGGTCAAAGAAGTCTGGTGACTTTGAAGAGAGAGAATAGATAAGGGATTCAGTTCCTCATCCAAAAGTGCTGTCTGACGGTTCTCTGGTTAATTTAATGGTAAATGGGCTGTACTTGTATCGCGCTTTAGTCTTCCAACCCATATATGCATCCTGGGTAATGTGGGTTATCACTAACAGAAGTAGAAATTTATGTGGCAGGCAGAAAACTAAATTCCCTCCATTTAATCTCAGTGTGACACCTGTGAATAAGTGGATTTATTATGTTTGTATGGATGTGTGTGTGTTTCCCACCCTGTGGCACCAAGAGGACGCTCTTCATCAGGTTCTTCAGAGGACCGGCACTCATCCCATGTTCCCCTGCAAACTCACTGAGCAGCTGCATGAACCTCTCCGTCTACACACACACACACACACACACACACACACACACACAGAGAAATACACGCATTCATTTGCACACACTTACAATAGGACAGGCAATGTTTTTCCTCGGTTCGGTTACCATGGCTAATCACGGAGTCCATAGTTCCATTAACATCAGGTTAATGAGTTGTGTGAGTGTGCGTGCGTGCTCACCTCTTTAGGCTCCAGCAGGAACTGGAACAGAATTTCAATCAGACGAAGAAATTGCTGCACAAAAGGAAAACATGAAAGTCGCTGTTGATGTCTCAGTCTGTGTTTGGTTTGTTGGAGAAAATAAACTTTGAGCAGCTGTTTGTGTGAAAAAATGCAAAAACAAGAATCACACGCGGGGACATTCCATCCATAGCTGTGAGGTGATTTTTTTGTGTATTTGATATATATATATATATATATATGACTCTTAAATTATGTGCATGACATCTAATGAAACTGTGTGTGCATATTGTGCATTTATTTTATAACACTAGTTACTTTGCAGATTTTGATTATTGATACAAACAATAAATTAACTAATACATGATGATGTATTATTATAGGTTAAGCTAACCAGCAGTATAAAGTAATTAAGAGTGTATTCACCTTTACCAGGTGCAACATAAAAGTGATAAACATAGACTATGCATTACAATTTATAATCCAGAAATAAAATGTATATTATTCTGAAACGGCCCTCCTGCATAATGAGTACTTTTATATTTGGCAGCCTACATTTTAATGCAAATGCTTTTGTACTTTTACTTATAACTGAGTATTTTCACACTGTGGTATTACTACTTTTACTGAAGTAAATGATCTGAATACTTCTTCCACCACTGACACAGTATGTTGTCACGTGATTCACACGCGCTATCGATTGGTGTGTTTACTGACAGCGATGGATAACGAGATAAATCCCGCAAATTAACAACCACGCATCCTTTTTTATTAATCTTGGAAGCCTCAGAAACTATGACAGCTATTCACGAATACAGTCTAAGGAGAATGAAACCTCAGAAACGAGCTGAGCTCAGAAATACAGCTCAGTTAGCAAACATTAAGATGAACTAAACTGATGGTTTATCCCTGTCGGTAAAACAAAACACTGCAGTATTTACCTGCTCGTTGAGTTTGTTGAGGTTCTGGAAGTCGGTGCTGACAGAATCCGGTAAAACGTCTTTGGTGAAGTGAAGCTGCATCTTTTTATTCTGTGAAACCGTGAGTGCTGCTCGGCTGTTCCTTCTCCACTTCCTGGTTCACTTGTGCGCATGCGTGGCCAAGTGCTCTGTATTTACTAAAAGCGAATTTGAGAGAAATTAAAGCAGAAATAAAGTTATTTTATTCATCATACAAAGGTGGCATGAACGGTAAAGACTCAATTAAAACTGTGAGTATAAGAATAGTAGATTAAGTTTATTTCAGTATTTTTGATAATACTATAGTACTTTTTCTTAACACTATCCTTTTAAGTGATCGAATATAAAGTACAATTTTGAGTTACATGTACTTTGAGTATTTTCCTTTTGTACTACGTTATTCTTCTAATATTGCACTTTTTACACCACTGCATTTATCTGACAGCTAGTCCCTTTGCAGATCATCACTACAAAATATAAATGAAACAATAAATGATCATATATTATTATAGATTAAACTACCTAGCAGCATAAAGTAATTACTTCTTCACTGATTATTCATCCTCATTTGGAAATGTGTAAAGCATATAAAAAATAAATAATAAAGTGTAGTTTTCTGTTCAGCATCAGTTTGGCCGCACTGGGGAAAGTCTCTAGGGTAATCAGGTGAAGCGAGGTTTACTGAGACCGCACAGAGGCAGCGAGAGTGATGGAGGTGGTGAGTGGAGTTGTTTAACCTGCGGGAACAGAAAATGTGAGTTGACATTCTCACCTGAGGATCACCTCGATCGCTCGCAGCGGCCAATCTGATGTCACCTCTCCTCCCTGCAGGTCGGCTATAATAACATGAGCCGTGAGCACGAGAGAGAGAGCGAGAGAGAGAGAGAGAGAGAGAGAGAGAGAGAGAGAGAGAGAGAGAGACTCCCATTTGTCTGCAGCAGCATGCTTCAACAGAGTGAACAACTCATGCAAGAGGACTGACCGACTCCTGATCTGTGCTTTAAATCCAAGGTGGTTGTTTTTTAATACCCACATTTTCCCACAACTTTGACTCTACAGACAGCAACACCTTCCGTGTCATTCCAGCCGTGGATACGTGTAAGAAGCGTGGATGGTAAGTTTCTCACCCGGGAGGGCGGTTTTTTTGCAAGAATTTACCGAGCAAATAGTTTACCACATTCTAAATTTGTTAACCTTATTTGACACATTTCCGACGCTGTTTGCGGAGGCTGGCTCGCTGTAGATGGTGTGCTTTCCCTTTATCTCCTCGTGCACTTGCAAAAGTTTGTAGCTCGGTAGTCTTGTTGCCCATGTGCGGAGAACAGGGCTGCATACATGTTGAACCCGAGGCAGTTCAACCAAATATCTTTAAAACGACCATGTCGACGCTCGTGATGCGTTTATAACGCATTTATTAGAACATTCCTATAATAATCTTTGATGAATTGAATGCATCTGTAGTGCACATTGTGTCTATCGCTTTTTATTTCAGTAATAGTGCATCTCTCCTCCCATTATATAGTTTAAGGTAACTTTGTGTTTTACTTCACAGTATCTATTTTTATCATATAGTTTGTATCTCTGTAAGATTTTAACGTTGCTGCTGGTTCTGAGTGGGGCGTTTGAAGCGATTTGTCGTGCTTAATATGTTGTTATAGTGCTGTTATTACGACTAAACCGTGTGTGTTGGTGCAGAATAGTGAATTTACACGAACCCTGTGTGTTGTCCCTGCAGGGTTATCTGCGGACTTGTGTTACACCTGGTTTAGTTGCATGTCTTTTAAGGAATTGCACGATGGGAATTTTACTGTGTTTCCTGGTTTTGAACGCGCTCCGGTGTTTGAACATGTTCTGACGGTGCAGGTTTACCGGATGGATTTTCTTGTTCTAGGATTACTGCTCTCTTGTCCCTCGGTGATTTAATAGTAGAGTTTGCAGCATATTGTTACACTGGTAGGGACACATGTATGTGCAGACAAATACAAAAGTATTCTCATTCATGTTGGAGTCACTTTAAAATGCAGAAAGAAGCCACGAGGTGGAAAGTGAAGGGGAGGAGTCACTCAGAGGCGAATGATAAAGTTAATCCAAGGGAATATTGACATCATTTAGGGAATATATATATATATATATATTATTGCATTTATTTTAGCATACATTGACAAGACTTCAACTAATACTATTTGTTTACAGTCAAAAGAAACACAACAGTAAGAGTTTAACTGGCCTCAGATTTAGCATTCAAAACATTTCTAATGTTCAAAGAATAGCTGCCAAACTAGATACATCTTTATTATTATTGTGCTGAAAACAATGACAATCTGTTAAGCAACTCTTAACAAGTAAATGAGTAAAGTAGGTAAAAAAAGGTCCACTACATATTAAACTGAATGAAAGCACAATATATACCAAGACAAGGAAATGATTATTTTCATTGTCAGTTAATCACAATTAATCGTTTAGTGTATAAATAGACAGAAGGTAGTAGAAAAAAGCCACCCGTTACATTTCCCTAGAGTCACAATTATATAACTTATATATACATAGACTATAACGTGGCTCATTAAATCAGTGTGACGTTAATATTTGCTTTGCTTTCCTTGCTGCATGCTGGAGTTTTTGAATGTTGAGAGGACGGGATCTGACATGTTCTGATAATATTGTCTGAATTTAACTGGAAAAGATTATTATTGTGCTTTGATTAACTAAGACCTGATGTGTCTGGGTCTTGGAAAGCAGTTCACTAGGTTGCTGCAGGGGTTTCAAATGTCTGACAGTTAAGTTCTATAGCTGAGGTGTGTTTCACACTGTGATCCTCTGATTATCCTCAATTGTCATCTTACCATTGTATGTGGTTTTCAGGAGAAGATGACATTTTTAAATCATATTAAACCACCAGAGCTGTCTATGGCTTCTCTCTAGTATTGGGATACATTTTCACGTTCACAAATTATCTAGGATTTATCGTCAAGCATCAGGAGAAATGAGCTTGTGAGAAAGGACATTTGAGGAAGAATGTACTGCAGGGACTATACCAGTAGTATTGATGGAGGGTTGGTGCATGATGGGTGGCTTCTAGCAGGCCTGTAAAAGATAGATGTCAGCTTAGTAAATGGAAGATAGGAGAGTTCTTCTTTGGCAAACTTGTTGTCTGTTAGTTATAGAGAGAAATGCAATAAACTGGATTTAGTCCCCCACCATTTGAATGGGATCTCTTCAGGACCAGTATGCCCAGGAGGAGCTCTTGCAGCAACCAGTAAGTCATTAAATGTACATATAGGCGGGTGAGCATAGAAAGCAAACGTAAATGTGTTCTCATTATGTAGAAGAAGTGGACAAGTGGACATAGTCACAGTGAGGTCACCCACTGGTTTATCGACTACGGTTTTGAAGCCTTCGGTTTCCCGTTTTGTATGTCGCCATCTTGGTTTCTGGCTATCGCCATCTTGTTTTTTTGGAACCAGAAGTGATACGAGAGGGTGACGCTGAGTACAACCCAATGCAGAATACATAATTTTTAGGTGCCCAAAATGTTACAATTAACTTTCATGAACTGAAAACTTAAGTGAAAGAGGTAAAGTTCTAAGAAGAAAATACAGACCACTCCCAGATCAAACAAACGATCACCTGGTATCAGGTTATAGGTGTGAATCAATTGAACTTTTTCTCTCCATTAATCTTCCAATTTCGATAGCCTGGTCCGCTTCCTGTGCTCTTTTTTTCCTTAAATTTAAAATGTTTACAGTTGACGGCCCGCCATGAATCAATGGAACCGAACCACTGAAGTTTTATAATTACATCAGCAAAGAAACCGTGTCTAACGTGCTGATGCGTGACCTACTTAAAGGGGTCAGGATGAGCTCCGATACGGATCAGTGCATCCCAATACACTTAGTGCAGTTAGCTGTCTTTAGCTGTAGTGCACTGAAGAGGTCATGTCTGTTAACAAAAGGGCATCGTTAGCTTGGTAAGAAAATATATACAAATATTTTACTAGTAATTTAATCTCTAATCTAGTAATGTTTGTGCTTTTGGTGTTGCAATTTAAAATGTGTGCTTCTGATCCAGGCTTATGAGTGAGTGGATGATATACTGTATGAATGCAGTCTGTACAATAGGAAACAAAGTAGACAATGTATAAACTGTAGGACTGGATCTGAGCCTGAAGGGGCCATAAAATACATGACAGACAAGGAATGCAGCCCCCGGCGAGAGACCCTGAGGAGCATAGCCTTTGGGGAGTGAACAATCCCCTCTTGCAATGCGGTCCCTAATCTCTCGCCACCAGACACAACTTTGATGTGAAGCCCCCCCCCCCCCCCCCCCGTACTTTTTGTCCCCTTTTCCTGGGCCCCTCACTCCTCTCTGCCCCTCAGTCTTTCCTCAGTTCTTCTAATTCATTCTCACATCTCCGTTTCTCAAAGTCGAAACATGTTTCTGCAAAGATACAGTAAATAAACACTGAAATATAAAGGTTCAGAGCAGTATCGACACACACATTGTTACTTAATCGTCATTTTCAAGCAAAAAGCTGATTGGATGAGCAAGAAGGGAAAACAGCAAACAACCAAAGACACATTCAGTAAACAGTAACGCTACAAGATGTTAAGATGGCAAAAGCAATTCATTCAGACATATGGGGTTGGGTGTATTCTATTTACTTTTTGTAATTTAACGTTTATGGTTTTAGGGAGAACTATACATTCATACCAAAGCAATCTGAGAACTGGTACTGCAGTTCCTACAATTGATATACAATCCTCTATCACAGTATATGTCATTTTATATCCCAATATTGATATATATTGTGTCTGTAAAATCTATTTAGAAACTCTTTATGGATAAAATAACTTTTTGAGGATAAATAATGAATTAAATACGTGACAAATACAGACACATCATGCAAAACATGCTGCAAAAAATCATATAAGTACAGGTGGCAACCAGTTATGAAAGGTGAGTCCAATGTGGAAGCGCCTTTATCTTGCATTCTTTAAAATAGCCAGCAGGGGGCGACTCCTCTGGTTGCAAAAAATAGTCTTGTACAGAAGTCAATAATAGAATGACCCTACTTCCCACTTGATTTATTACATCAGTAAACATGAGTTCATGGTCTCAATCACTAGTTTCAAGACTTCTTCCATACGGCATCATGTTCATCTCGTAGATTATGGTCCCATTTAGATGAAAATAGACGATAAAGCAGGGTATGCATTTCTACCTGGTCCGAGAGTTGTGCTTGTTTTCGTCTAACTTTAACCCTTTCACAGTGCATTTTCAGTTCATGAAAGTTCATTGAAACATTTTGGTTACCTAAAAATGTCCTATTCAGTGTTCGGTTGTACTTAGCTCTTGTGTCACTTCTGGTCGACAACGATCAAAATGTTGAACTCGAGACTTCAAAACCATAAAATGTGCATTTTTTGCACTTCCGGGTTAGTGTTTTTATTTTTTGAATGGGTTTTTGATTAGATGCCTGAAAAAAGGTCTGTGGTTAAACAAAAGCTTAGGGGATCTGTATCATTTTGTTCTACAAAATAGCTGATGGCTTATGGCTAAATGAGAATACTAAACATCATCATGCCAAACACTAGTCTTCTCTCAGCTCAGTGGTGGTGACGTGTAGTCATACGACCATGGTGTAGTTAGTTTATAGCCTAACATTAGGCTTTTACTCGCTCAATTATGTCGATGAGGCATGCAGACCTCACCAGGGTGGTCGTCCCATAATGTTTTGTTTCCCTCTCCATAAGTAAGTGCTCGCAAAGGTAGCTTTACCAAATCTGCAAATGTCCCTTGCAGAAACAAATCCAGATCTGAATGATAGTTAGAAGCAGGCACCCGTTTGGTCTGCTTTTTGTGTGCAGGTCAAAGGTCAAAGGCGGGAAGAGGAGTGGGTGTTGACATCCCTTTGAGTCATGAACTCCTTCACCTCTCTGCAGCCAGGTGAAGGGGAGAGTCCCTGAGCTCAGATTATTAATATGTAGCCTATTGATGTCAGAGACGGTTTGTGTCAGTCAGAGGGCACCAACCTCTGCACACAGAACAACGTGACTTCCTCCTGCCAGCCACTACAGACTGTGTGTGTGAACACACATTACTCATGCTGTGGGGACATAAATCTGTTCAGACAAGTCACATTTTAGGAACTCACCTTCCTTTTCGGGGACAAAAAGCGCATAACATAAAAACATTACATTTAGCGGCAAGAGTCGATATAATGTCAAGCAAGTTGCATGTTGCTGTAATTGCTCCTCCTGTCCTGTCCTGTCCTGTCCTGTCCTGTCCTGTCCTGTCCTGTCCTGTCCTGTCCAAACACACTATGAAGAGGTAACCAAGCATCATTTAGAGCAGGGGTCTCCAACTGGCGGACCGCGGTCCGGACCCGGACCCAGGCAGCGAGTTTGTACTTTAACCGGCGCATCTTATTCAGCCGTTACGGCACTTGTTCAGCGGTGCAGGACACACCGACCAATGCTTTGTAAATCACATCACGTGATACGGCTCAGCCAATCAAATATGAGTATTCTGACAAGTTTCCTGACTCGAGTGAGGTTTACACACACCGTGACACACGGGGGAGAGACAAGGAAATAGAAAGAAGAGCAGGAAAATTGCGCTAATCAGAGAAGTTATCTCACATGACGTTCTCCAAAAAGAGAAACGTGTTCAGAGAGAACAGAATTTATAAGCAAGAATGAGCAGGCTCTTCTATGTTAATTCTTCCCACAGGCGGTTAAAACCAGCATGTCTCATATGTTCAGAAACCGTAACTATTGATAAAAGCCGCAAATGAAGCGCACTACGAGGCAAAGCACAACTCTTTAGAGCCCAAAATGATCAGAATCCTAACACAGTAATTCACTGTCCAATGATGTTAACAGAGAGAACAGAGCAGAAACAAGTGTTAATAACCACAGATAAAGTCCCTGAACACTGATTTATCTTTTTAGATGACAAAAATATAATATTGTGAAATTCATTTTTCTAAAATGAATTACTTTATTTTAAGATGCACATTCTTCAAAAGCTTTCTGTTATGTCAGTTATTCTTTAATCCCGCCCTTATTTTACTTGAAATGAGAAGAACATTTATTTATGTATTTCTATGTATTATTTATAATCCATCAAGTTAAATTTGAAAACTGAGAATAATAATTTGTTAAAATATAATTGATGTGTACTTTCTTTATTTGATTTGACAGTTGTTGACTACACAGAGACATTACTACTACTAGGCTTCTTGAATATATTTATACATATATATATGGCACTAAATAGCTCGAGTTAGATATTATTGTAATGTTTCGGACCTTTGCCCGAGGAGATTTTCTCAATCTGGCTTTGAGTTTGTCTTTAGGACTGCAACTAATTCACAACTTATTTTTATTTGATTTAGTGTAGAAAATACTACAATATCCCAATTTCCTAGAGTCCAAAATCATTTTTGAGGCTGTACACTGCAAAAAAAAAGTTAGTGAGATAATATTTTGAATTGGGTTAACTTGTGCTGACTACACAAGAATGAATTGAACATACAGGTAGGTGGTTGTACTTATTTTCTCCTGCACAATCACTTTCTCTTTCCCCTCTAAGAGTTTTCTTTTTTTTGTTTTTACATTTGAATTTTTCCTTGTTATTGTGGGATTCGTTTCTATGGATTTCCAGGCAGATTAACGTGAGTAAAACTAAAACTGACAGTCTGCTGGCTACCTGAGGTCTGCAGGTCTCTCTGTCCAGGCTTGTTTGACAAAGGTATTGACACTGTCACCTCCTTGAAATTTAAACTATAACACACACACACACACACACACACACACACACACACACTTATATTCAAATCAAAATATGCATTCCTGTACAGCAGCGTGGAGGCTCCAAAGAATGTGCAGTCACACAATGAAAAGATGAATGCAGAAGTACTGCATACATAATGCGTGTACAACGCATACACTGTCACTTATTTTGTTCACTTGCACACACACACACACACACACACACATTCAGACAGGCTTGTGTATCTGTTTATCTCAGGATTGTATGGGCATGTCAGATCTGCTCCAACTCACTCACGGAGAACAGGAGAGGCCAGCATCATCCTCTCCTCTTCCAGTCTTTCTCTTTCTGTTTGAGCCTCGGCCTCTCCATTTTTTCAGTCACACAGCTGTATTTCTGGTCATTAATTACTGGCCATTAGAGATAATTTAACGAACATTTTATGTCGTTGTATAGTGAAACATTCAGGAGATGAAAATATAATTTTTTGTTTAAGTTGAATTGGTTTCATTGAGAAAATTCTGAATGGATTTACAAGAAAGCTCTCAGATTTTGACTGCAAGCACAGAAGCTGACAGATGATTTTCAAAAAGAGCAACAGAGAAGCAGACAAACATTTAATGACGATGCTGTGATATTGACTGTTGATGATCCACAACACCAGGTCATTAGTCCTGTTTTATTTTCTGACTGTTTCCTTGTTTTGTGTTTCGTCCAGGTTTGAAAAAGAGTCAGCACAGCCTCTGGACCAGCCGACTGCAACAGCGATGCCTTCCAACAAATACTCTGCTGCTATCATGGATGATAGCAACAACATGACAGCCACGGTGAGTCTCACACACACACACACACACACACACACACACACGTACAGGTTACAGCCATGAGAGGTCACAGTGTGCTCTTACCATTGTCTATATGGAAAAAGAAAGTTAAAGCCATTTACAAAAACCACAATCCCTCGCATTAACACCCACGTACACACACACACACTTGCGACCACTCCCTGAACCTTTCTCTGTGCCAGCTGTTGTTTTAAACGAGTGTGTGTCGATGCCAAGGCAGATGCCCGGACAAGAGTGCCAGCATGTTATATGGGCCTAATTGAGAATGCATGTTGGCTGTGATGCTGTGTGCACATGCCACACACACACACACACACACACACACACACACACACACACACACACACACACACACACATACATACACATCACAGCTGCATCTACACAAAGAGGATATGTGGTATTGATAGAAGGATGGAGGCAGTAAACAGGGGAGGGAGGAAGGAAGGAGGCAAGAAAAAGGATTTATGGAAGGATTGAGGACAATTGCTTCTTTATATGGGTTCACGCACAAACACACACATGCATATGTTTACTGATTCACATGCTGCCCTCAAGTCGTGTTTACCGTGCTAACGAGAAGAGTCCATATGAACACTCTCCTCTTGTCAGATTCACAACCTCGTAAGTGGAAATTTTCTGAAAGCTGGGTTTTCTCGAGGCGTGTTGGTTGACATCAGGACTGGTCCTTGGAAGCTCATTTTTTGAAGGAGGGTTAGTTAATGTATTGTAGTGCTGCAACGGAGCATAAAACTCACGGTTCGGATCGGAGTCATGGATCGGATCACAGATTGGATCAGCACAAAAGAAAAAAAGGATTTTATCAAGTGTGTTTTATTTTCCATCTTATTTTCACTGTTGCATTTCTTCTGAAGTGTATTTTACTTAATTTGATGCATCCTATCAACTGATATTAATGTGCATGCTGCACAAATGGGTACTAATTTTAATATCTTTAACTTTATTTTTGTCACTGCGATGAGTGGTTGGTAGATTTGGAAGCGAAGACTGTGGTGTGTGTGAACCCCCACGGCGCCATGCTGGGTGATTTTTCAGAGACAGTTTTTAGGCTGTACCCGACACAGAGAAAACCCGCAGTAAGGTTAGACCCTCGGGAAGACGCTCTGCATGATGGCTGAAAAACGCTTATTTCGGTGACCTCTAGTGAATTAGTCTCCAGTATTATTATAATTATGCCCCCTTGTATTTCCCGCCTTACGTTACCGGCACGCTGGCTTGCTAAATAGTTAGCTTCTGTGGCTTCCATACGGTGACAGTACACTCACAAGCGTCCACGTTGTCGTCGCCTAGCAGCCGTGTTTTCACGACTTAACCACTTGAACGCCAATCATTTCGTTTACACGAGCTCACAAGATCCATGTAAGAGCCAGAAGTGTAGTTTATATTAGTTCATTGGAATTTCGGGCTTATTAACCATTTAATTTCTCATTTATGCTCATTGTGCAGGAACTAAAGATACACTATGTAAAACATATTGAAAAGCATTTATGTTAATGATTGACACTCCCTTTTTTCCTGATTTAATGACGTCATGACGGCAGCCGGTGCAAAACCCGAAGAGCTGCATTAGACACGGGAGCATATAGTTTTTCTACCGTGTGACAGCATATATTATTTGTGTATATTTAGTTAACGCTTTGTTGCGTAAAATAAAGACAAAACGAAAAGAATCAAATGATCTCCTGTCATTCGCGTAAGGAAATGAATTCACTGTGTCTGCAGCTCATTTGCGGCTTAATAACGAACACCGACGCAATGCCGCTACATTCCATTTGAAGGCAGCAACACAGAAACTTTCACAATCTGTACACACACTTTTAGTCTCTGTTTCATATGTACCCATGCACACACACATGCGTATGTGCACACACACTTACAACCACAGACACACACACACACTTAATGAGGCTCCTGTTGTACGTTACTGCTGGTTCCTCTTTTTCAGTCTCATATATCACTCCGTATCTGAGAGGGACACTTCCTTCTCTCCGCCATCTTCCTTCCTCTTCTTTCCTTCTCTCTTTGCTCTCCATCTGTCCTTTTTTTCTTCTTAACATCACAACTTTAATCCCTCTCTTCTGTGTATTGTTTGCCCATCTCAACCGGCTTAGTGGCACATCTTCACATGTGTGATATGAGGACTGAAGGCATTTCAAGTTTAGACAGCTTGACAGCAGGCGTGTCATTTTTAACCCAACATGGAAGACAAATCCTAAAAGAGTAACTAAACCCCAAACCAAAACAATGATTAAGGATATCAAGTGACTTGCTCATGGATTCAGGTCTTAATCTTTACATTTAAGTGCAAAGCTAATGAATTCTACATATTGTGTTGACATATGCATAGTGACTTCTCTCTACTGGTAGAAACCTGGCTATTGCATATGTTTTTTGCTATTAGCTGATCCAGAGGCAGGTGACGAGTATGGAGGCAGCTTTGTCACCAACAAACCCCCCTTACCTGCCCGCTCCTATTAAACCAGTGTCTCCCCTGCGTCCAGGAAGGAAGCGTGCATCTACACGCGATACTGCCCGCTCATCTTACCACCACTTAGCTAGCTAACGTCACAGTTCAGCCGAGGAGGACGGCGTTAATGTTTTAATGATGTTTAACAAGTAGTACTTGTGAGATGGAATCTCGTCCACGAGTAGATGCACGCTTTCAGTAGAAGGAAAGTAGTTCCTACACGATGATCATGATTTGTGGTAAAGAGACACTCCTGTCCGGATTTTGGGGTTAACTGTCCCTTTAAGGAAAACAAACTTCTGCACTAATTTCACTGTCGAAAAAAAGTTAATTTTGTGCATCTTGGAGTTGTGTAACTGTCTGGAAAGTATTGAGGAGGACGGGAGATGCTGCCCTTCATTCCACTCTCTACTTGTTGTCAATTTTGCAAGCTTGCATCGTTGAAGAGGTTTACAGCCTCACAGACAAAAAAAAAGCTTAAAACAAGCTGTATTTTCTTTGCCAACAAAAGATGACACTCTCAGAGCGTTTACTGCGCGCAGCGTTTTGGGGCAGTCCTGTCCAAGTGTTAGCCGCGTGCCGCTTCTAATCATTTAGGCCTCGCTAAGATGTTTTGACAGGCCATTGCCGGAGCGCCGCGGGGCAGACTTGTTCGGTGTGGAATGTGTGCTTGACGTAGGTTGGTGAAATCTGCACAATGCAAGACTTAATATACTGCTTTATTAAACACACACTGAGTCATGGAGAGTGCAGGATGCATGAGACACATGTTCCACACACCTGACACTACAGTAGTGGTGATTGAAATAGTTGTACGCACATTATTTGTACTATAACAGAGAGAAAAGAGGGAGGCAGAGGAGGGAGAAGAGGGTGACTTGTGTTACTTTAATGCATCATTGGGCATGTTCATGTCTGCCAGCAGCACAGGGGAGGAGGAGTGATGGATACCAAGGAAGACAGGTTAATGGAGGTTAATGATGATGGTAATAATCGCAAAGACACCTGGCCCACATCAAATCACATTTTCTGTTCAGGTCCTAAACTACAGGATTTGGAATGAGCAGTTAACCATTTCACACAACTCTGATGTAACTGATGCTCTCACCCAGAGAAAGGAGAGGAGAGGATCAATTCTTCAAAGACGGGGGATGTGAAGACAACTTGTGACCGAAAGATGTCAGGAAACAAACTTATCCTAGCAGGTTTATGTCATCTTTTTTTAGCTTTTACTCTCCAATAATTTGCAGCTGCACATCTGCCGTCTCTGCTTCTTTTCACTGTGTATTTACAGAAGTTTTTCCCCCCTCATCTTTTACTAAAGCAGACCTGGTCTGGTTTAGTCCAGAGAGAGAGGGAGAGGAGGAGAGAGAGAGAGGGGGAGGGGGGCAGTAAAGATTTAAACAAAATGAGTTAGTGGTAACATGAAAATTGGGACAATGTAGAAAGAGAAAAGGAACAAGAGGGTCCAATTTTTAATTTTAAGTAAATTTTCTATTGTCGCGAAGAGTAAATCTCAGTCTGGTTGGCGCAAATAAAATAAAACTTTATGTGAGAAATAGTTCCTGCAGTTCTTTGCTAATCATTAAATGACTGAGAGAGAAACGGATCAATTTGATTCGCTTTCTTGCCGAGAGTTAGAAGAGAAGATCGACACCACTGTAATGTGTGTATGCTACACGTGTTGTGTCAAAACAAGATTCACAGTTTTACAATCTTTTATTTTCTCATCATTGAATTGTGTGTTGTATGCACCTCTATAGATGACAATAACAAAGTAAATTTTTGACGGTTTACACTGATTTTGGGGCGGTTGAAATTATTTTTCGGGACGTTCCGTGATGGTGGCGAAAAAAGAAAATCTGAATCGCCAGGTCAGACTTTTGGAATCAGCCAAGAAGATTGCAATCGGTGTTTCTCTACTAGCAAATGCGTCATCATCATTTTTCTATGTACATTTTATAGTGCAGCTAAATATAGAAGCATACATTTATGTGGTGCTGAAAAGAGGAAGGTTACATTCCTTAATAGAAGCAGAAGCAGGTCATCTTGTCTGTCTGTCTGTGCTCAGAGGAGGGTGTTATATGTCGAGTAAAAACTTAAAGACACAAATTAAGCCAGAAAGTCACTGCAAAGAGCTTTTCAGCAGGTGTGTTCATCCTTTAGCTGCTGCAACTGCTGCCACTGTAAACAAAGAAAATTTATATAACAACGTTTTCGCAGAGACTTGCAGCCTATAACATAATGTCTCACACCTTTATTGGTTGGCTCTATTAGTCATTATGTGAGACAAAACATCGCTCGAAGCACTTTTCTACCTGGAGCCAACAATGAAGAGGTCAGTCTTGCTGTGGAGGTTCACTCTCGCTGCGGCTTTGTGTCTTGGCTTTCTTTCTGCTGCAGCTGAGGAGTAGCCTATTTCACTGGGTTGCCATTGGTTGGATTAAATGTCTTCAAGGGGCTATGCCTTAGAACAAAAGGTCTGAAATTTGAAACAGTCACAAAGAGAAAATGACCCAACCAATCAAAATCAAATGTTCAGGCGGGAAAATGTTGAATCTGAAGATCTAGAAATAGAACCAACTGTTGATGATGTCAAATCTTTTGTTGATTATTTGTAAGCTGGATGGAAAAGTTGCAAATGAAGGTGGACGCATGTTCAAGTCCGAGAGGTTTCCGTGGATGTTATCGGTTCCAAGTTGTCCTGCAGAGGATTTTTTCTGTCAACATCAGAAGTCCTTACTGGGTGTAAATATATGAATGAGAAACAGGAAGCTGCTAAATTGAGCCCCAAGGTCAATCTATCTCCCCTGAAGTCATGTTGGTTTTTTATGTTTCAATGTGTTAGTTAGTGTAAGAGGAGTGTGCATGTGGCAGCCGAGGCCGCTAACGTACAGCTGTGCTGCAGGGACTCAGATGTCCTCCATCTGTGATCTTTCATCCTTGGCTGTTATAATATCAGGGAGGATCATGGAGGTCAGTTTACTCTATGCCAATTTTCATTTAACACAGTCCAGTCAGGAAGAGACTGAGTGAACCTTTATAGATTTAAGGCTCAGGAAGAGACACTTGTCCAACTTTTATCCACTGAAAAGTTGCCTCAATTACAGCAAAATGTGAAGATTTTAAAAGCTGAGTGAATGAATGGGCTGAAAGCAACACACAGACTTCACCGATTTTCACCGGGATTGTTTCTTTTTTCTACAAATGAAAATCACATAAATAACAAAACATAATGAGCTACATCTGGCCTGAAAACCACTGCTTACCATTCAAACCCATAGACCTGGACACTCTGCGTTGTTCTCTGCACTCTGCAATTGTCTGGGCAGATGGACAGATTACGACTCTACACAGTAGTCAATGCAGTATAAACATGTGATGGCTTCTTCAAACAAATGTTTCTATCCCGTCCCTCTTAAGCCCGAAGTGCTGCTCTACCTTCTTTCATCACTTGTTCCTCCCAAACTGTCTTCCTGCTCGCTCTGCTGTCACTCCCCTCCTCCATTCACCTCCAGAACCCAGAAACGCCTCTTGCCTCTCTCTTCTGCGGTCGATCCTCAAGTGCTGAGATATGACAAGATGACACACTTTCACATACAGTGGTCAATTTCAATAGTTTGATCCTCTACAAAAATCCTCTGATTTCAGCTTTTCACATGTTAGGATTTACTGCATTTCTCTGTTTTGTACCAAAGTAAATTGAATTTGATACAATTTAAATGTGGCATGTAATATATGAGGTACAATTCCAGGGGTATTTATTGCTAGAGGTATTTATGGTCTTCGGGAGATGATCCCAAATTATTTTTTTTGACTCTCTGACCTTTCTCTAGAGCAGCCATCAGATCAGACTTTCTCCTTGACCAATGCTTGTATCTACAACAAGGCGCTGCATCGATTTCTGTACATGTTCATGTCCCTAAAGAATTATTCAGAATGGTCTTTTGGTGACCCTGCTGACCTTTTCCCTCTCTCTTTCTTTTTGTCAGTCTCTCTCCCTCTTATTCCTGCCAGCAGTTCTCACTCTCAACCATCTGCAGCACACACTTTACGCACAGGTTCACTGGGTTCATTTATTATTGGGCAGATTTGGCATCACAACCACTCTCACACACCACATGCATTCTATTACAACGTTTAACGATCACAAACAGCCTCAGATACGCGTAGCTGGGAATTTTCCTTTACAAGTCAGCAGGATCTCACAGTTTGTCCATTTGTTGAACAGCTGCTCCGTCTCTCCTCCTCCTCTCTCTCTCTGCGTTGTTCCATCTTTGTCTCTTTTGCACTAAATCAACAGTATTTTGTAAATTAAAGACTCATTGTGTATAAAACTAAAGTCCTGTTTGATTCGTTTTGTTTTTACAGTTTACAGTTACAACTGTAACCAAGAGTTTAATGTGACCAACCACATACTGGTTGCAAAATGTACTCGTTTGCAGCGGCCAAATGGCTCGTGAATGTTTTAATTTTACCTGATTTCTGTGAGATAAAAAGAATAATCTTTTACCTAAATTGTCAGACCTTTCCATAAAGAATGTTTAGCATTTAGCTCAGAGCTGTCACTTGTTCTTATTCTTTTCATGGTGAAGAAATGTTTTGTGTCAAAGCGTACAGGCAGCGATTATGAACACCCCAGTGATTCAACTTATTAAAAAGTAGCAATGCACACTCTACGGAAACAGCACAATCATGGCTAGAAGGAGACAGAACTCAAACATGTCTTTTGTGCAGTATAACACAGTTATGGCATAAAACATAAGAAAAGAAGAAAAGCAAGATTAATTACTTTGATGATTTATTTTACTTTTATTTTGGGGTCCGGAGGGTTAACAATAGTTTCCATAATTTATTCTTATTAATTCTTATAATTTATCTAGTTGTAGCTAATGTTTTGTTACCAGTGCTGTGCATCCATAGTTTTCTCTTTCACACACACACACACACACACACACACACACACACACACACACACACATACACATTTTTAGAGACACGTGTGTCTAAATCTTCCTAGCTGTTACCTTAATACATCAGTATCTGTACATCTTTTATACTCCGCCCTCCTCTAATCTGAGTGGGCAAAGTCGGTACTTTTAAGTGTATCAAGCACAAGTCCAAACAAGGCTGCCACGGATATGCGCCTCAAAGGTTCACTCCTTCACCGCTGTCGAGGTGAGAGATGAAGTGATGCAGAGAAAAAACGCTTTTCTGCTCACCTTCAGGCCACCTGTGCTGATCTCTCTCTCTAAAGTAATGACTCACTGTCACTGGTAGCTAATGCCTCTCACAGATTCATAATCCTCTGTATTATTCTTCTCCGGATAATGTTGTTTGTGTTGAGTCAGATGGATAACCTCAGGTTTACATGCGGGCACGCCTGACAGTCTCTGACATGTCAATTGTCAAAATATATTGGCTCCATTGCAGCGGTAGTGTTTGGTTTTCACAACAAAAAAACATTTCAGTGCTTGTGATATTCCTTGCAAGACGTAGCTTGAACAAAATGTTTTGTGTCATTTCATGTGCAAAAACCTTAAAATATTAGTGAATATTACTGGTCATAAACAGCAGACAATAAACAATACAAGCTGGTACAATAAGCCGGTAACGTGGCTAGTGGGAATGCTCCTAAAGAGGTTTTTGGAAACAAGTGACCCAGGTGGAAAGCCATCAAAAGTGTCTGGCAAAGGGACCGCCCATTGTGCTTCGAGGATTAGAAGATTTGGGATGTTCAGCACCCCGAGCTATGACTCGACTTGTATGTGTTGTGGACGTATTGCATCCTGCCAGTCTTTGTCGATGTCAGCCAGCACATTAAACATACTGTCATCATCATCCTCAGCTGTGGGTGGGTTGGCAGGTGAAGGCTATGTGGAGGTCTGTTGTCACAGGCAACACTCTCTGTTTGTTTCTGAGTCTTTCTTTATTCTTCGTTAGCTTCTATATAGTAGTGAGTACTTATAGAAGGCTTCATATGAAATACAAAATACAGTGGAAATTACTGATAGTGATCACGTCTGTCTGGGTCAAATTGATCACAATGAGCTGATGATTATCATAACCATCTAATTGACAGTTATGAAATACAAAGCTTCCCTTTTTACAGGCTTGCTGCCAATTCCTTTGTCTTTTCTAAGGGCTCGCATGAGGCATGAGGCTTTGCCGTTTTTTGGCTGGCTCTGTGTCACTGCAGTGCCGGCGGTACATGCAGGTGAACGGCCAGTTGAGGATTGGCAGAGTTTCATTATGTGACCAGGAAGTTTCAATCTACTTGACAAGGGTGGCTTCAACCACAGGTGCTTTCCCACTGCGCATTAGTTTGTCATTGAGAGAATGATTTTCCTTTTCCCCGTCATGATTTCAATGTGCACGTAGCTCCAGCTTCAGGTGGCCAGTCGCAAAGCAGTCTGGTTACCACGAGGCAAAGTATCGTGGGAGTGAAATCAAGTTTAAAAAAAAAAAAAAAAAAAATTGAATGACGACGACAAAACATGATGACAGACAGAAAAATCAATTGAAGCTTTAAATGTAAAAAAAAAAAAAAAAATGGCATTCGCTCCAGCTTTAATTTCAGCTGTGTTCCCTGAGAAATCATATTTTTTTCTTCAGTTTAAATATTAAAATACTCATGAACATCGACAAGCGTACCTGTTAATTAGATGCATCAGATGGATCATTAATACAAAATTAACCCAGAATCCAGAAGATTATTTAAGATGTATATTTAAAAATGATGTTTTCCCAACAGCATAGTCTTTGGAACAAAACTTAAAGCATGTAATTTGGATGTTTCTCTCAGAAATGCACCCTGGGAGTAGTAGTTATTCTCCTCCTCTCATCACTTTTCTCCACATATTGTTCTCACTCTTCACATCTTTGCCTAACTTTAGTGTCTTTCACTTCCTCACTTCAATCAGTGAATCAATAAATCTAATAATCTGAGCATCTTTTCAGTAAAAGTCGATCAGGTTAAAGTCTATGAGTCACCTTCCCTCTGTCTCTATCCTCAGGCGCCGGTGAACGGAGGCAAGCCTCCCGCTAAAGGCCTATCAGAGAACGACAGTGGCGTGGAGCTGACCAATGAGAACAGCCCTCTGACCGCGGCTGAACCGCCCTCCCCCTTCAGCCCCAAGCAGAACGGAGACGCCGCCTCACCTCAAGGTAACACACACACACACACACACACACACACACACGACAGTGACACGTGTTTTATGTTGTTTCTGTATCACAGCACATTGTATTTGAAATCCTTTAATCTATAGTTGGTAAAACTTTAATATTTTCCTGTAATTTACGAGAAAGGAACTGATATGAACTGTAGATTTAGAGGTTTAATGGAAAATACAATATAAACATTATTAAAGTTCACTTTTATTATAAAGGAATTTCATATTCCTTCACTAGAAATGTATTTCTGGAGAAGTGACTGTCCTGCTACTTGCACATTATCTCTTGAACATATTGAGTTACTTTTTGAGCCATCTGTCGAGCCTTCTGTTGATCTCCTGCTGTTTCTCCTCTCAGATGGTAACCAAGGTTCAGGGGGAAGTAGGAAGAGGAGCAGGAAGAAGTCTGAGGAGGAGGAAACTACCTGGGACTCCGACAGCGAGGTATGACCACAGGCGTGCAAACTTTAATTTATTGAAGCTTCTTTTGGAAGACGTGAAATTCAATCCTCTGAGTGTGTGTTTATCTGTGTTTGTTTACAGGACAAAACTTCAGGAGCGTCTCAGCTGGGTTTGAGACAGACGCCTCGACCCAGAACCATCTTTCAGGCCGGTCTGATACCGCGCACACACAACAAACCTCGCAGACAGAACCGCAAACCGGAGCACAGCATGTTACTGGTAAACACACACACACATCACTGGTTTTTCTTACCCCATGTTAAACCACATGATATTTTCCATTTACAAATGCTGTGGTGTTTATTTTAAAATACATATTAGTCTACTAACTTCCTTCATTGTTTGCGCTTCCCTATTTGAATTTCTTTTTTCAGGCCTAATTCTGATTCACCAAATGTCAAAATAATCTAAATCGGGTTCCTGCCCCTCGCCCAGGATGAACTCGAACATGTTGTTTTGACCCTCCATGCTTACCGTAGTTACTGGTGCAACAGTTTTGCAACGCAGTGGAACAGTTCAGTCAGTTCAGCATTTTTTTTACTCCCCAACATCCTGACGTTTCCATAAAAAGCCTGTGGGTAAGAGTAATGATGTCCACATTTATGACAATGTGGTCGTAAAACAAACACATTTTGATGCAGGTTTAACCTGTTGAAAACGTCAGAGAATAAGAAGGATTCATTTATTCTTTCTTGTTTACCTCTCTGGTGTCCATCCAATTGCCGTGAAAACCAAAAGCAATTTTCCAAAAGATTCTGCAAAAGTAAATGCTAAATAGTGTTTTTTGTCCCTTCATCTACTGTTAAACAATTAAGCTTCTTTCTCTCTCTTTTGCTTCCCACACAAATATTCCTTTGAGTCTAATAAACCTCCATCTTTATCTTCACCCCTGTCTCTCTCCATCAGTGTGCTGGTCGCGGTGGTCCTCGGGTGGCTGCGGTTACGTCCGGCGGAGTCCCAGAGGCTCCCCGTCCCGAGCTGATGGAACAAGACTCCAAGGACTCGGCCCAGAGTATCAGCACCTCATCCAGCTCTGAGATCCAGCCGGAGTACAATGTAAGATGTGTGTTTGGAGGAGGAAGGGTGGAGGGGTGTGAATCACATATCAGGACTAGAGACTAGACCTCCATCCACTCATGGGGGCAGGTTGATGGAAGTTGGGAGATGAATGAAAAAGAAACAAAAACAGTATGTCTGCAGATGCTGAACATAATATTCTGATTGTTTAATCTGGACTCACATATGTGGGACTTTTTTAGTTTGTTGTGTTTTTGTATCATTGTGGCATTCATTTAAAATGTTGAAAGATTCAGTGACAGGATCACAATCAACGACATTATCACAGTTGATATTCATGTTGGTTTTTAACACTGCTTTTCAAGTTACCGAACATTACAACCAAACTAATTTCCCTATTTAAAAAAAATATAGCCCTACAAGGTAACAAAACACCAAACCAAATTACATTCCCCAATGTAATTATTTAAAGTCTATTTAAATATTTATCAGTTCTTTTTCCAAATCTCCATAAATTAGATCCGCCACACAGCATTTATTTAAAAAGAAAATATGTTACTTTTAAAGCAGGTTCGCTGTTACTTCCGATATTTCCTCCTTCTGAAACAGCGGGGAAGAAAGCCAGGAGAAAATGTCAGGAGTTGAGTTTTCATTAAAACAACATTATGACTGTTGTGTTAACTGCATGCTAAATTAATCAGAGCCCACAAGGCCACATTCCTCCTGATTTATCACATGACTGGTTGTTGACAAACAATGTGGCATTTAAAATGCTATTTTTTAAACAGAGTCCGTTGCAGTGCTCATCTACATGAAAAGGCTGCATTACATCCCTTCCAGCCAACTTCACGGAGAGGGCAAAACAGCACCACTGATCTGTTTTAACTGATTATTCTCTGGTCCAGCTCAGCTAAAAACACAAAAACACTGATTCCGTCAGCATGTTAGCGTGACGTTTGTGGGTAACCGGTACCGACAACGCTATCGTCACTTCACCTCTGTCTTCCGCTCCATTAACCTAAACGGTGGCAATGTCTTGGGGTGTCTGATCTATCATCCTCGCTTGTCCCCGACTCTGGCAGCTTAAAGTAGCGATAGCAAGTTTATTGCGTTTGGGGGGATTTTTTTTATATGTTCATATGTTACCATTTTGCAGCGGTGTTGCTCCGCTGTTCGCAGGCGAAACACCGGAGCCATAGAAGCGATACATAGCACGATACTAACGATCTCTCTTTAAAGGCAGATTGCAGAGGCATTTTAAGTATTTATAAACCAAAATTGTCCTATAGCACACCCTGACCCTTAAAGAAATCTTGGAAAAGGGTTGAGGACGTGCAAAGGGAACGAAAAAGAGAGAGACAGCTGTGTCAAAGCAGGAGAGGCAGCTTATTTCAAAAAGGGGAAGTGAAGGTTTGGCAGTAATAGAAAGAGGAGGGTAACTCCCTTCACAGATCACAGAACCTCCCCCACCTGGCCTTGTGTTAGTGCAGGTGGCCACAAACACACACACACACACACATGCTCTGTATCAATAGTTCAAGTCAAGTCGTGACAGGGCCTATGTGTGTGTGTGTGTGTGTGTGTGTGTGTGTGTGTGTGTGTGTGGTGCATGCTTATAAAGATCTGCATGTCTCAGGTCTGTGTGCACAGAATCTCACAGTACACTTGCTTTTTTTGTGCATGCTGATGCGTCTCATTGTGTTGGCGTGTGTGTTTTCACTCGACCCAGGCTGAAGTCAGTGGAGCGTATCATCCTTTCAAAGCCTGATGGGTTTTCTCTCTCAAGGCGGACTGAAGGATCACATAGCCTGGGCTCAACTGGGATTTGTTTGCAAGCATAGAATTCACACCTGCTCAAAAACTAGCACACATAATTTGCAAAAGAAAGAAAGAAAAATGGGTCAATTATGGTTTTATCAGGGATGTTTGATGTCTTCTTTAAATTGCAAAGCTAACAGCAGACATAAAGGAAACATTCCTTAGCAAATGAGGAAATCAGGCTACAATGTGTTTTCATACAGGTGTAGAGTGATGTCAAGGTGGACAAACACGATTCAGTTTATGTTGTGATGCTTTAAAGATATGGACATTTCATCTTAAAAAAATGTCCGTTTTATTGATCCGTGCAGGGCAATCTCTGTTTTAATACTGTCATACTTAAAGGACACTACCTTTTTAAATTAAAAACAGGGTAAACGATTTGTTTCTTTACTCAAATGTCAGCTAAACCTTCTCCTCTACATTCTCTGTCCTCTCTCCAACAAAACATTTGGTTTTGTAATCTGGTACAGGGAAGAGGAGGATTTTATTTTCTCATCCTTTCCCCGAGGAAACAAACGTTTTTGCACAATTTGTGTTTATTACTCTGTTCTCTTCCTGACACCTTTCCTCCTTTCATCCTTTGCTTTTATCTTTTATCTTTAACACTGTTAAACTAGTCTTGAAGAAGCAATACGTTCTTCTCTATCTTCTACTCCATGCACAGAGTTTTAGTTATAGTTTTAGGAGAGATGTTTCTCCCAAAATATGAACGCTTATTTCCTCTTTCTTTAGTTTTCCTTTTCTACGTCTTCGTCCAAACTAAAATGTCCAGGGAGATTTTCAGCTTTACATATATACATATATCTCTACAGCTTTCTGTCAAACCATCAATCTAACTCTCTTTCCATTATCTTCATTCGTCCTCTCTTCTGCCACCTACTTTTTCCATCAGTAAAGTGGTGCAAAGTACAAGATCCTAACCTTATCCATCTACACTCTGCCTCCTCCATCCAGGACAACAAGGGTTTTGGCATTGGTGAGCTGGTGTGGGGAAAGATCAAGGGCTTTTCCTGGTGGCCCGGCATCGTGGTGACGTGGCGCGCCACTGGCAAACGGCAGGCCAGCAACGGCATGAGGTGGCTGCAGTGGTTTGGAGATGGAAAGTTCTCTGAGGTGAGGAGGGAAGAAGCAAATCAGACAGACTGAAGGAGGAAGGGGGGGGAGAGAAATCATATAATAGTTGCACACGTCGTACTTTGTTTGATGCCATGCTTTCTTCCCCTCTAGGTTTCAGCAGACAAACTGGACTCCATCACTGCCTTCCCCAAGTTCTTCAGCCAGGCCTCCTACACCAAACTGGCCTCCTACCGCAGAGCTATCTTCCAAGCACTGGAGGTAAGCGTAGATGTGGATTAGGTGCCACTTTTGGAAATGAACCACCTTTGTTCTTAGTTGCTGGGCAGAGTTAATCTGCCGTCTTCCTCTTCTTCTTCTTCTTCTTCTTCAGTGCAGGTGTCTCCAATTACATTGGCTGTGTGTAGGAGTGTGTTTGTGTGTGTGTCGGGGGAGGTGTCAGTGGCTGACAATATTTCAGATCTGAGGTCTGCTGTAAAAACACACTGGTGTAGTTTCCCTGGCGAGAACGGCGGTTCACTGGAAGTGCATTTATGCATGTTTAGACAGCACCGTATGTGTGTGTGTGTGTTTTTATATTAGTGCTGGGCAAGTTAACGTGTTAATTTCGCGTTAACGCATTCATTAATTAACGCCGACAATTATTTTATCGCGCGTTAACGCATTTTTTAAATTTATTATAATTTTTTTATTTTTTATTTTTTATTTTTTTTATTGAAAGACAAGAGACAATACATATACATAACAACAATAGGATGACAAGAACAGTGGGATAAAAGCCAGCAAACATCCTATAGTCAGTAATTTTAGTGCACCTATATGCTGAAATTCACGGTAAACACATTTAAACGCCACAGATCGGGAGCGAGCGAAGGACTTTGAAAGTTAGCCTAAAGATTAACGTGAGACAACATCCGGTTTCTTCAGACGAACATCCGATTTTCAGAATAAGATGCCAACAAAGTATGAATTATATTCACATTTAGTATAAAACATGCTACCTGCATCTCGTGAACCAAATGTTATTACCCTTTTGTTCATATAGCAGTACTTTTAAAATAAAAGTGCGCAATACACTACTTTTGAATTCATTATTAAACTTTGCCATAACAATGCGATTAATCGCAATTAAATATTTTAATCGTTGCCCAGCACTAGTTTATATGTATATGGTGTGTGCATCAGATACCAAGTAAAACAAACGGATGCATGTCTGAAAGGGATTCCTCCTCACTATCACTGTCTGGTCCTGTCCATAAAAAAGACTGTAATGAGAGAGGACTGCCGGGTTGTCTCTCTCTCTTTTACACTGCCTGCCCTCTCAGCTCACTCGTACAATCTGTCTCTTTCTTTTTTTAAATGAGCCGGGAAGCCGAGAGCAAAGCCTTATGTTTGATGCTTTTAAATATCTTTAAATATATATCTTTAAACAGTTTTTATCTCTTTATCACAGATGTCCAGTGTCCGGGCGGAGAAGAAGTTTCCTCCCTGCGAGTCGGACATTCTAGATGACCAGGTCAAACCCATGCTGGAGTGGGCCAACGGCGGCTTCCTGCCCAAAGGAGAGGAGGGGCTCAAACCTACACACACTGCCGGTGAGCAAGGCAGCAGCACCAGACCAGTCGCTTACTGTTCATCACAAAACAAAGTGCCTCCAAATGTGCCATTCAGTGATGAAATGATAGTAAAGTCTGACTGTTCTTGTGTCTCCCTGCAGACAGTAACCCTCTGGACCACCAGGTCCTCGATGTTTCCCTGCCAGAATATTTCCCCAGCGCCAAGCGGCCCAGAGTCAGCCTCTGTAAGAACAAGGCCGCCCCCGAGGAGTCCTACAGCAGAGGTACATTGCATTGTTTGGAGCTTGAACTTTTTAGTTTTCCTGCTTTTTGTCTGTTAAAGGTTTAAAAGGGAAATAAAATGCGACGTTTGGTATTTTTTTTGTGGTCCAGATTAGCTTATGTTTCTTGCGTTATTATTTTTGCATCAGTTTTATTTGGCTGAGTGTACTGTCGTGTAGAGTAGGGTATTTATTAGAGATTGGCTTAGGACATTGAAAAAAAACCTGCGTTACAAATTGTGCAGGAAAATGTGAAGCTAATAAAGGGCTTAAGACTAAAAGAGTCCCATTGTCCCTGGCGGGATAGTACACGTGTTTGAGACATCCCTAAATGAAAATGTGTTACTTTATAACATTGTCCTTCTTTTCCTCTCAGAACAAATGGTGAATGAAGTTCTGAAGAATAAAAGAAGTATAGAAGGTAGAGACTCAAACTTTCACATTGTGTGTTTCTGTGTGTATTCATTTGTGAATTATTAACCGTGTTGTTTAATTTTTTACAGATTTCTGTCTCTCTTGTGGAAAGATGAGAGCAGCAACCTTCCACCCACTGTTTGAAGGAGGCCTGTGCCAAACATGCAAGGTAGAGCAACAACACAATTTACTATTTTCCACAATCAGTAGCTTAACCCATTGAATTATTCAGTGTGACGTTTTCACGGGTTCCTGAAGGAGGCGCTTTCTGCTCAGCCATGTTGGTCATGTTTGTGTTGCATTCAGAGGTCCTTGTCAATAGACTTTCTCCATGGCACACATGTTGACTTGTCATACCAGTAAAAATGATGACTGGCTGCATTTCATTTGAGTGCTCCAGTCCCATGGCTCTGGCACTGGGACACCGACTGTAAATGAAATAGAGCCATCTTTAAGGTGTCTCGCTATAAGTAGTCAAGATGTCCTAAAATACTTATTTGAAGCTTGAGATAATTGAGCATGCAGTAGTTGCACTCGAACATGTTAAAAAGCTCCCCTGAGATCCACAAACCGAAGCCTCCAAAATGATCGTGCAGCTGAATCCACACAACACAAACTGCACATTATCACCTTCATGAAGGGAGGCTCTATTACAGGAATGTTGTATTAGACTGCATTATTTTAAAATATACTTAATAAATTTGCAACGGAGTGCATGTTTGAAGATGATTTTCTTTAATTTGTTGCCGATGTGCAGCAATGTCAGTGTGACAGTGTAACTAAAGCCAGATGTATTTTTGTGATTTTTTTTCTGTGTGTGTGTGTGTGTGTGTGTTCAGGACGTGTACCTGGAGATGTCCTACATGTATGACGATGACGGTTACCAGTCCTACTGCACCGTTTGCTGCGGAGGTCGAGAGGTTTTGCTCTGCGGCAACGCCAACTGCTGCAGGTCCGACACACAAACACACACACACACACAAAGTAACAGTACACACAATGCATGACCTACTAACTTCCCCACCAATGTGTCTATCTGTCCGTTCACCTCGTCTCCTCTCTTCCTTCCAGGTGTTTCTGTGTGGACTGTCTGGACATCCTGGTGGATCCCGGAGCGTCTAACAGCGCTCGCTATCTGGACCCGTGGCGATGCTACATGTGCCAGCCGCTGCTGCAGTACGGCATCCTGAAGCGACGGCACGACTGGAGCATCAAGCTGCAGGTTTTCTTCACCAGCGACAATGGACAGGAGTTTGTGAGTGACTTTGTAGTTTTTTCACAGATGTTTGACAAAAGTTTAATTTTTGTGAACAAATGTATATTTTTCTTTGTCTGTAAATATTTCTGCGTATACTTAATATCAGTGTTTCCCAACCAAGATGAATCTGTGGGGTAGCAAAATGATGAACAAGATTTTTCTATATTTTCTGCCTTTTTTCAAGTCTCTGCTTTTTACTATGAAATACTGCAAGGTTTTACCTCTTCGGATCGCTAAAGATTATTCAGATAAAACAATGTAAAAAGACTTATGTGACAGTAGAAGGTATTTCTTCCGTTTAAAGTGTCACAAACCAAAAAGGTCGAAACTCACTGCTCTATGTTTTTCTTCTCTTATGTTTCATCTCTTCTTCTCACCACATTTCTGAAATACCTCAAACTGAAATTAACTGAAGTGAAATTCAGTAGCCAGACCTGCAAGGACAAGCGTGATCGGATTAGATCAGCAGCGAACAGGAAGTCAGCTAAATACAAACAATTGAACAACCTAATGTGCAATGCAGTCCAACGATCCTGCAAAAAAAGTAATCTATGACTTTCAAAGTTCAACATTTGTAGAAAAATGTATCAAAGAGCAAATGAGAAAGTTTGAATGGAATCAGCAGAGCAGATCATCAGCTTATCAGAAACGAAGATAAGAGCATGTTTTAGTAATGCAGTGAAATGTATTTGTCACTGTTGAAGAATCTTTAACTCCTGTAATATTGACAGCCATTTAAAATGACTTAACTTATGAAAACATTATCTTTTGACATATTTAGCTGCCCAGATAAGAATTAGCCTCAAATACGATTTGTCTTAATTTTTCTCTTCCAGGAGAAACCAAAGATTTTCCCAGCAATCCCTGCAGAGCAGAGACGACCAATCAGAGTCCTCTCCCTGTTTGACGGCATTGCCACTGGTGAGGACGAGTGTTTGGATGACAAGAAACAGACAGCGAATGAATGTATTTGCACTGATGTCTTGGCCATTTGATGTTTAATTCACCTAAAACGCAGCAGGTCATCATGCAAACTGTCTGTGCTTCCAGGCTACCTGGTTTTAAGGGACCTGGGTTTTAAGGTGGACCAGTATGTGGCGTCAGAAGTGTGCGAGGAATCCATCTCAGTGGGTGTTGTCAGACATGAAGGAAAGATCCATTACGTCCATGATGTCAGGAACATCACCAAGAAAAACGTAAGAAAGAAATAGTTTCAAGTGTCAGGAACATACCTGTTGAAAATGATCAGTTGTATCTACTTAGTGGCAGTTTAAAGCTCCCCCCAACAAATGTTGTTTAAAACATCACGAGACGCGTCATTAGGAACGCAATGCCAGCAAACCCATGGTTTGCCTATGGTACTTATAGGATGATACGTTTTTCATGTGGTGGCCCGGCTTGCACTCTCTTGTGATGCACTTTGTGTTTCTCTAGCAGTTTTTATAGGCGCATAAAAGTTAAAATATTAATACTTCCTTCCTGTTTTGATAAAGGCAGATGTGGTAGGAACAGTGGGACAAAAGCAAATGATTGCGATATTTAATTATGATGAATATATATGCTATCTATTAGCATTAGCACTAGAGATTGAAACCCTAGTTGAAAGGGTAACAGCTACTCTTCACTAATACTCCTCCTTCTGCAGTCTGAAGAGTCCGGATTGGTGTGTTTATAACACAATATGTAGAATTCAAATTATTTGCACTAAAATGTCAAGATTTGGACCAGAATCCTGAATCCATCAACAACTCTCTCAATACCCATATACATTATATTTCAGCTGAAAAAAGTGGTTTGAGTGTTAAGTATTAGTTGCTGAAAATGCATGAAAAATTGGGAATATTTTACTGAGTGAGTTCTACTTTGTTTTCCGTTGATGTTTTGTTGTTATATTCATGCAGTAGCTGCCACTTCCTCAGTCTAACACTCGGTGGTGCTGTTGTCTCTCTCAGCTTCTCGACTGGGGTCCATTTGACCTGGTGATAGGAGGAAGTCCCTGCAACGACCTGTCAATCGTCAATCCTGCCAGGAAAGGGCTCTATGGTAGGTACCTGCCAGAGGAAGTCACGTCGGAGAATTTCTTTCAGTAAAATTTGTTTTGCACCAATGTCAACAAGAATTTGAGCAGTAAATGGCTGTAGTGGTTAATCTCTGTTAGTCATTTAATTTAAATTTGTATGAGTTTAGCTGAATGCCTTTAGTTTTTATTAATTGACAAAAGGCTGTTTCTGATACCCCCCCAAAAAATGGCCAACCTCAAATATACTGAGTGTTTCATCTTTAAAATGTTATCTGGAGTGGCCACTGGGAGGGGCCTATATCCCCAAATCTCATTAAGGAGAAGGTCAGTCTGTACTGACGGTGCTTTGTTTCTACAGAAGGCACAGGGAGGCTGTTCTTCGAGTTTTACCGTCTGCTGAGCGAGGCCAAACCCAAAGAAGGAGAAGACAGGCCGTTCTTCTGGATGTTCGAGAACGTGGTCGCCATGGGCGTCAATGACAGGAGGGACATCTCACGATTCCTAGAGGTGAGTTATATGGACTGTAGAGTGTAAACAGCTGCAAAATATCAAAAACATAAACCAAAGACGTCCAACAACGACAGATAATTATTAAATTTTGTTCATGTGTAGCGAAAGAAGTAGTTCAAGACCTCGACCTGAAGCCTAATGTTAGACCTAACCCTGAGGTGGGGGACATGACAAAAAAATATCATATCATAATTCTTTTTAGGCAGGAACACGATGTTATCACTATTCTTTTCATGCTTATTTTTAAGACTATTTTGCAAGTTACTGAACAGACTACCAGACTAATTTCCCTATTTAAAGAAATATAGGACAAGGTAACAAAACTCCATTCTCAAATGTAACACTTAAAAGTCTGTTTAAAGTTTCTTTGAATCATTATTTAAATGTATTTACTTTTACAAATACATTTGAAACACCACAAGGTATTTATTTAAAAAGATAATATGTCACTTTTGAAACAAGCAAGATAGCTATTTAAGTTTATTTTTAAATAGCAGCGGAGCTAATCCAGCAGTGCTGCGCTGCTTTATTACCATGAGTTTGATTGAGTAATCAATGTGTGTTTTGGTGTGTGTTTTTTTTGCAGTGTAACCCTGTGATGATTGATGCTATTGAGGTCTCTGCTGCTCACCGGGCCCGATACTTCTGGGGAAACCTGCCGGGCATGAACAGGTAGGAACAGGTAGTTGTGATTAATATGTTGCCAGAGCTGCAACGAATATTCAACTTATCGATTAGTGAAATTGACCAAAAAATAATGACAGTTAAAGTAATCTTCCATACAAAAATGACAGAAACTCCATTATATCATATTTAATTTAATATTTTTGGGTTTTGGACTGACAAAACATGACCTTTAAAGACATCACCTTTGAGAAACTGGGATGGACATTTTTTACTTTTTTCTGAAATTTGTCTGAAATTTTTCAGACCAAACAATCAATCAGTTAATTAATAAGTTGCATCCCTACATGTTACACCACGGTATCTACTGTAAGGCTAAAAGTGTTACTGTAATCTACACAGAGATGTTTTGTGTGGGTTTTGCTTATGATATATACAATATATATATGTGTGTGATTATACCTCTACGTTTCAGGCGTCTGTGTGCCTCTGGGATGGACAAGCTGGAGCTGCAGGATTGTCTGGATCACGGCAGAGTTGCAAAGGTTTGATACGTCTACAGAATACTGAACAAAGTCACTCTTCACAGTTTACACTTTTATAATGTGTTACTTGGTCTCTTGTTTGACCATGTTTTTGTTGTTTCATAGTTTGGGAAGGTGCGCACCATCACTACCCGCTCCAACTCCATCAAACAAGGGAAGGATCAACACTTCCCTGTGCTGATGAACGGGAAAGAGGACATACTTTGGTGCACTGAGCTGGAGAGGTTAGCAGGAAACACACACACACACACACACAAACACACACAGAAAGACCCTTCAGAAGATCAAATATATAAGTAATTTAGTTGGATCTAACACTTAAGCTAATGATACAAATCTTGAGTGTCATACCCATATAAATTGAATAGCAGTTGAACGGACATTGAACTGTTGTCCATAGTCGTTTCAATAGTACCAATGAAAATGGCAATTGATGTCAGTTGCTATGGTGGTCGCAATGGCATCGGTACACATAAAAATGGCCGCCGCTCCGACCATCCTGCTACGTTGATTTGAATGGGAATGTCCGTTCTGCTCCTATTCTTTTTCTATGGTCACAGTGCTTAAGCACCATGGTGACATTGATTGTAATAGTGGTTGTGTGTTTGTTACCCTGCAGGATCTTTGGCTTCCCTGTCCACTACACAGACGTGTCCAACATGGGTCGCGGTGCCAGACAGAGGCTCCTGGGCCGGTCCTGGAGCGTCCCCGTCATCAGGCATCTGTTCGCTCCACTGAAAGACTACTTCGCTTGTGAATAGACGCCAGCCATCATCAGCAAAGAGAAGCCATTTACACACACCAGCTTTTCCATTGTGATACTAACTCCGAGGAACATCGGCCGCCCGCCACATTTTGTGAAGAGCCGGAAATTTCTCTCCACTCTTGCAGGAGAATAACAAGTTTCATTTCAAATCAGTGTAGCTGGAAAATAGTGAGAATAGCTGTTTTTGTGTCCAGCCCTCCTGGTGATAATGCACTGCAGCCTTAAACACACATAACACACTAACACAGAGATAAACAAATAAAGCATAGGCTGTGATTCTGCCCATAGTATCACTGATTATATCATCCATAACCGAGGCCAGGAGAGTGCTTTTGTCTCTGGAGGTTCAGCTGAGTTTAAAGGGAAAGATGGCGAAACCTGACTTACCTGTTTTGTTGATTCAGATTAGACCGTACAGGGATCTGAACAGGATTTTCTTTCGTTTGAAATGCCCTTAGAAGGTATTGCTTTTAAGTTGACAACACTTAGTAGTTGTAGAAAAGAGAGAACAACACACAACCAAAGGTACAGCTTTTTACTGCGCTGTATCAAACTTTTTTTGTAGGATGTGTCAAAATTTCAGAGGATGTTTATGCCTCCATTTAGCTGATGATTAAAATGTGTGACAACAGGCTGGTAATAAAAAAAACACTTGAACCAAAGTCATTAGATGGACATATTTGGGCCTACATGCTGTTCCACTAGAATCCGGCCTGAATGTATTTTCTCAAAAAAAGGGGTTTGTCTAGAAATTATATTGGGGCTATCTGTCCAAATTCTAAGATAATAAATATCCACAACTGTACTGAATTATTAAAAATAAATTGATAAATAAAACAGAAACAGCATTCAACAAAAACATATCCTGTTAGTCTAAGCCACACAGGTACTGTGAAAGCATTGTGGTTGTTCAATGCTAAGAAAATAATCTTTTTAACTTCGTTAAAATTACAACATATTTAGATTTGAATATGGAAAGAAAAAAAGTGCTCCGTAGGAAATTACATTCAGCAATGGAAGCTCGTGCACTGCAGGCTAACCTGGAGATGAAGCAGGGTTTGTCTTTATATTTAGTTCATATTCATAGTTTTGTTGTTGTTAATTGTTGTAAAGAAAAATACTATAGTTTAGCTTGTTGTATTTTACTTTGAGATGACTTCATATGAGCAAAAAAAACGGAAAAAAAATGTTTATCAAAGATTATATTAAAATGTTTTTGTATAGATGGTGTAAAACTTGAAACAAGCCGATGCAAAAACACAGATCTAGAGATTGTCTTTTGGGGACCATTCCAGACAGCTAAGAATTAACGAGTGATGCCATTTATCCTGCTGCAGAAGTTTAGATTTTATCGTGAAAAAAAAATACCATTGTTTTAGCTCACTGTAATGGCTGGATGTCAGTGATGTCAGCTACATGTGAGTGAACCTGGTTCAAAGACGTTAACTTGAATCCAGGAAAGAACGAGTGTCACTGTGCGTAAATGTGGTTTTAAAAAGCAAAAAGGTGGGAAACACTGGCCAACACGCAATATTTCTTGTAAACTACCACTGACTAATCTTGTTTTATATGCGTTTTTTTAAGTTTCCCAAACATTTGACAAGATCAAAAATCATCTCTATAATGCTGGTTGATGCTCTGCTTTGTTCTGTGTGGTGCACATGCTTTGGTATACAGTATGTATCAGTAATTACAAGTAGCCTAACTGTCTGATGTGGTGCACATTTGTTGCCAGAAGAACTGTTTTCCTGTGAGACTTCAAACACAGTTATTGCAATAATGTTTTTTAATACTACTTAATAATTTTACACATTGCCATTTTTTGCCTGAAATGACATGTCATTCTGTATGCTTAAGCTTTAGCATGTTCACCAGACAGAGGGATTTACTGAACAGTTTATTTTGGTGCCAATTCTCTTGATGTGAACTAACTAAACTCACAAAAAATTGGTATATTCCTTTGAACTATCTTTTTGTTTTGTTTTGATAACTGGAGGAATTTTTCGATGTTGTCGACTGTCACCAAATCCTACTAAATGGGCATTACCTCAGACAAAGGGGCAACTGTACATCACTCCTCCTGTAGGACCTCTTTTCTGTGAATATACACTGTAGCTTTATGCTCCAATATGCCCTGTCTATATATAGCTTGTATTTTTTCACTGGAACTTTAATTTTTACACAATGTTTTGAGTACTGTATTGATAGAAAGGTTTACAAGTGTTTTAACTCTCTTGTTTGACCAAGAACTACTTTTTTTTAACACAAAATGCACAAGCCTTCTTTTTTTTCTTCCATGTTTAAATGACCAGTTCATTAAGAAATTTATAACTCTTATATGGTGCTCAAAATACCCCTTAAAGTGCCACCAGGAGCCTCTTTAGTCTGATTTTTGAGTCCTTTAAAAAAACCAAAAAGTAATTGTTTACATTCTTAATTAATACTGCTGAGTTTGTTGAATGTTTTGCTTGAGAACAGTACGCAAAAAAAAAACTGTCACATACAGTATATATTAACAGTATAGAGCTTTCGTTAAATGTGTAATGTCCTAGCACATTATAGAGCATTTTAATCAATAGGTTTTTGATATGTGTTATGTTAGATGTAAAACAATTTGAGTACATTTGTAGGCTTGCGTGTGAATATCAGAAGTTTCTAATTTTTTGTACTACAACCTTTTAGTGCGATATATTTTATCAGGATTCCATTTGAGGATTTTCTTTTATTTTGCTGAAAGCTTTTTTTATGGATCTAAAGTGCAAAAGCATTTCAAAAGAACAGATTCTGTGCTATTTTTATACTTCTTTTGATTAGTGGAAAAGCATTGATGCATTTTGTTATGTTTATGTACTTCCTACAGCAACCTTTATATCATTTTTACTCAATAAAAAACTAAAAAACACTTCCATGGGTCCTGTGTGAAATCTTCAATAATTTTTTGTACATTCATCTTTTTTTTAAATATTTACTCTCGGGACCGAAATGTCTGTAAATGTCAATAAAGTTGCAAGAAAAGACATTTTATTATTTTAAAATCCTCTAATTACTTTTTAGTGACTCCATTAATTATTCAGGATATAAAATCACAACATTCATGACAAATTGGTTGAAAAATGTAATTGCTTGTCTGATCTCTCCAAAAGTATTTAAAAGACTTGACAATGGTTTAGATTTTACACCATAATTAAATGATTTATCACTTCTCAACTAATCAATGAATTGTTTTAGGAGTAGTTTAATCATGAGAGAACTTGTGCTGTAATGGATATGAATATGATTCAAACACTTCTTAGAACACAGCCATTCATTTGAATGAGAGTGAACCTAGAAAGGTTTTTACTCTTTAAAATCTCAATATCTGCTTGTGTAATCTGGAAGATTGAAGAGTTATGCCAGAGAAGAAGGTGCTTCTATATGTTTATATGTAATAAAGCAACAATTTTACAGTCTGACTTGAATCAAACAGGGAACCTTGGGGTGAGAACAGAATCTGTGTTATGTGCTCAAATGTTTGGGTTCAGTTCCAAAATTCTGGTGGCTGCAATTTGGACCAGTGTTTTTTAATGCTGTGATGCGGAAGACCTGAGATCAGAATGGTACAGTGGTCCCGTCTAGATGAAATGAATGCATGAATGAGAAGTTCTTCGTCTGATTGTGTTAGAAACAAAAACATTTGGGTAGTATGGTGGTGATTGAAGAAACCTCCTTTAGTGATGTGAAAGCAACCGTAAAAAAACACACACTGGTCCTGATACAGAACCCTGTGGTACCCCACAAGAACAAAATGTGCAAATCAGAGATTTGTGTTCTGCCAAACAATTATGAATACAATCATATGAATACAATATTAGTAATACCAACATATTGCCAGACAGTGTTGTGGCAAAACCAGAATGAAGAGGCTGTAGTTAAGAAACTAGCCTGATAGTGCAAATTTGGATTGGAACAATTGGCACTGAGGAAGTCTGTCAGCTGACTGCAACTTCTCTCTCTCTCTCTCTCTCTCTCTCTCTCTCTCTCTCTCTCTCT